AAAAAAAAAAAAAAAAAAAAAAAAAAAGAAAGAAAAAAAAAAAAAAAAAAAAAAAAAAAAAAAAAAAAAAAAAAAAAAAAAAAAAAAAAAAAAAAAGAAAATTTTCTTTTTTTCCCCATTTGTTAATTATTTAATTAGTTACATTAACTAACAAAGCAATACGTGCCTGTCAAAATCAAACTTTGTATTAAAATATAGAAAGAGTGAAGTTCCTTTTTTATTATCTGCCTATGTCTATCTCACCCCCTTTCTCAGGGCAAACACTGTTAAAAGTTTAACGGGTAGCTTTCCAGACCTTGCCTCATGAATTTGCAAATAAACATCTATGCTTATAAAGATAGGGAAGATGGAATTATTTTCTACATTGATAAGTTGATACTACAAATTTTAAGTAAGTTACTCATCCCATTCAGTAGTATTTCACAGACTTTTCCCTGCATTAGTTTCTATAGAGCTAAGAACTTATTTCAAACGTGATTCATTTCCACTCTCTCAAATCCCTTGATTTCTCTGAAAAATTCATTTCTCATTATTTCTGTATCCCTCAGCATCCCCACCCACCCACCATGTTATTCTGGTCTGATCGTAAAACATAGAATGTGTTGAGTGTGTCTGGCCCACCTGCTGCTACCCCTTCTTCCTCTTTCAGAACTGGCTGGGTTATACCAAGAAAAGAGCACCCATTGGCTTCCATCGAGTTGTCGAAATTTTACACAAGAACAATGCGCCTGTGCAGGTAATGGCTCCTAAAGAGAGTTGGGTACAGGATATTCCAGGAGACCTAACTTTTAGCTTCTTACTGGTCAGTGATGGGAGACCCAATCTACTCTTGTTTTCCCTTAAAGGCAGCACAATGCCTGGAGTAGGCCTCAAAATAGAAAAGGCCAAGGAGTGAAGTTCTCTCCCCTTCTCCCCATTTAGAAACAATTCCAAACTATCCTCCCTCAGTAGCATTTACTGTGTTAGCCTAAGTGGAATATTGATGTACTGTTCAAATGATAGAAAAGGAGAACTCATGGAGAAAGGACTCAGGGAGCAATGGGTACAGCACTGGATCAGATCTAGAGCACTGTCATTGCTGCCATGTGTCTCTGACTGTAGGATCAGAAGAAATGTTCTCTTTCCTGCTTACTGAGGCAGCATGGAAGTAGCGTGTAGCATTACCTCATTCCCATTGCAGAACTAGTCCTATGGTTGGTGACGGGAGTTATGAACATTAGATATTGAATTCTTTTGCCTTCATCAGGACTTTTCTACCTTGTAGAGCTCTGTGCTTTATGGGTCTTTGAATTTCATTAATCGGAAGTACCTCTTCCCACAGATATTACAGGAGTATGTCAATCTGGTGGAAGATGTGGACACAAAGTTGAACTTAGCCACTAAGTTCAAGTGCCATGATGTCGTCATCGATGTGAGTCTCCAAGAAATGAGAGTCCTCAGTTAGATCCTCAGTGGAGAGGAGGGATTAAAATATTCTCTGTCCAAGATCCTGAGGTGCTCCCATCGGTTTTGACTGGATGGACAGAATAATCTGGCAAGAGTTTGTTTGGAGACTAGCACTCTGTATTATTTTCCCAGCCCTCTGACTGGTTTCTCTGTGTTTTTGTGAACTTTCATACTTGGAAAATTCATAGAACTAAATCAAGCTAAATAAGCTCTGTAGTCTTCTCTCCAATGTGGAGCTCTGTGGGCATTGGACCCCACTGTCATCCCACTATAGCCTCTTAGCCTCTCCTTGAGCCTTGAGTCAAAGATCATGACAAAAAGAAATAAGCCCTCATCTGGGCACAGTGGCACACAACCTGTAGTCCCAGTTACTCAGGAGCCTGAGGAGAGAGGATTGCTTGAGCCCAAGAGTTTGAGGCCATCCTGGGCAGAAAGAACCCTTGTACAGAAAGCTGATTGGAGTTTGTATTGTTTGTTTTGGTACACAGACCTGCCGAGACCTGAAGGATCGTCAACAGTTGCTAGCATACCGGAGTAAGGTAGATAAAGGATCAGTAGAGGAGGAAAAGATTGACGCTCTTCTCAGCAGCTCGGTGAGCAGCTACAGTGTATCCCTCCAGCAGGCGCAGGAGACAAACAGTTCACAAAATAGTACCAAGTGTATGTTCTCCACATCTGGAAGGATTGCAGTTGGCTAAGCCACATGGATATAAGGCTCTCCTGTGGCCACAATGTCATAAGCACTGCTTTGAATAGCAGAAATTACACAAAAAAAGAAAAAAGAAGAAAAAAGGAATAGCAGAAATTACTCCTGAGATGTGGTATGATAGGGGGGTAATATGGGGGTCTCAGGCTAAGACTTAATTGTAATGCTCTGATAATTGTTAAATTAGCCGGGCATGGTGGCGCATGCCTGTAATCCCAGCTACTTGGGAGGCTGAGGCAGGAAAATCGTTTGAACCCAGGAGGCAGAGGTTTGCGGTGAGCCGAGATCATGCCATTGCATTCCAGCCTGGGCAACAAGAGTGAAACTCCATCTCAAAGAAAAAAAGTTTAATGGGTAGCTTTCTAGACCTTCCCTCATGAATTTGCAAATATTTCTCCTACCTAGCAGGTAGAATAAATTAAATATTGGAAGTATGAAAACATGTTGCAGATTCAGAGTATCCAAACTGTATGATCTCATGGAGATGGATGGGACCTAGCTATTGAAAATAAGAAGTGGGTGAAATAGATGTTAGCTCTCTGGGGAGCACAGCATGTGAAACTTAGTTCCCTGTTAGGTATTTTGGGGCCTAACTTAGGGTCAAATGACCAAAATTAGGTTTGTACAATACAAAATAAGTGTTTAATGCATCTTTGAATAAATGAACTCCCCCACATTAAAAAAATTTTTTTTTCATTTTTTTCCCCTACATATTTAAAAAAATTTCTTAACATCCCCCACCTCCCAATCTGATTTTACTTTTTCTTTTCCTTATATTATCTAGCTATAAGCCTTGTTTTATTGCATTTTCTCTGCCTTGCTGTAGGGATAAGTGAAAACTGATCACTCACCTTCATTGTTTCCTCTTTCCACAGCAAATTCGATGGAAGAATTAAGTGGCATTAACTACCCTGAAACCTGCCTCATTTCTTCCTTTCCTGCCTGTGAAAATAGAGAGCTCTTCTTTGGGAGAGTTACGGCATCACATCGCTTGGGCCCATTATCCACAGGCAGTGCCAGCTACTCTTGACACAGATAACGTCACACTGATCTTCTGTCCAAGAAACATCATCTGAGGATTGAGATCTAAAGCTTTGACTCATGAGAATGATTTTCTCCACCTGGTGCTCATATGAAGGTGGGAGTGATTTCTGGATTGGGCCCCTACTGGGTAAGATCTCACTTGGTCTGAGAAAAGTGACTGCTCCAGAAAGGAAGAGGTGCAGGTGTCATAGGGTGGCCACTCCATTGAACTCAGCTAATTATGATCCAGGACTTGGTGCTGGACATTGGCAGTTCTGCTCTGAATGAAGTCAGAATGGAACCAAAATGGCCTCAGGAAGGAATGCCAGTGTTTCCCAAGACCTGCTGGAAATGCACTCACACCAGACTGCACAGACACCCCCACACTGTGCCACACATGGCCTAGACATTGTGTTTCTTCAGCCATTTTCCCTCTGCTGCCTCAGTTTACTCTGTCCAAAAACCTAAGGCTCTTCTCTCACTCGAACACAGATGACTTTGCTTGGGTGATGGGACATCCCCTTTATCTCTTCCTCTACTGCTAGCCCAGACCCATAACTTTATACGAAGCTCAGATGCAGCAGTGCTGGAGAGCTCTCTCTTTATGCAAAAATCTCATTTCACTAGGAGCTTTCAGAAGTTTCACCCGGGCTAAACTCAGTAGCATTTCTGTTAGGATATTTAGATGGAGGTGTTATTTTCACACTTGGATTCTTCCTCTGTACCAATATTTGCCTCTCTTCTCTGTGACTGAACTGGGTTTTTCTGACATGCCTAGACTCCTAATAAAGGTATTTCTTCCTTGGTGCCTTCTCTCCCACTCCTGGTGGTTTAGTGCAGAATGATGAAATAATTGCTCAGAATCTTAGGATCATTACAAGTCTTCTCCGTGACTGCATTCAGCAGCCTGTCAGCACATGTCATGTTAGAGAGTAACAGTGCTATGGCAAAGCACGGTGGTGGGAGACACAAGACCTGACTTTTTCCAGCTCTGCCACTAACTAGTTATGTGATGCTGGGTGAGTCCCTTTCTTTCTCTGGACTCATTAGATAATCTGAAATTTTGTAGAGTTTGTTTGTTTGTTTGTTTTTGAGATGTAGTCTCGCTGTGTCACCCAGGTTGGAGTGCAATGGCGCGATCTCGGCTCACTGCAACCTCTGTCTCCCAGGTTCAGGTGATTCTCCTGCCTCAGCCTCCACAGTAGCTGGGATTACAGGCACCTGCCACCACATCCAGCTAATTTTTGTATTTTTACCAGAGATGGGGTTTCACCATATTGGCCAGGCTGGTCTCAAACTCTTGACTTCAGGCGATCTGCCCACCTTGGCCTCCCAAAGTGCTGGGATTACAGGCGTGAACCACCACACCTGGCCTGTTTTTTTAAATAGACAGGGTTTTGCTCCATCACTTGGGCTGGAGTGCAGTGACACCATCATGGCTCACTGCAGCCTTGACATCCCGGGCTTAAGCAGTCCTCCCGCTTCAGCTTCCTGAGTAGCTTAGCTGGGACCATAGGCACATAGCATCAAGCCCAGCTAACGTTTTGTAGAGTTCTGTGCTCCTGTGTCTGTGGCATGGGTGAAGTCAGAAGGAAAAGAAGATGCTCCTACAAAGGCACATACCATGTTTTAAGGCAATATGCTTCTCAACTGGAGGCAGTTTTGCCCCTCAAGAGACATTTGGCAATGTCCGAAGTTGCTTTTTGTTGCCACACTGGCAGTGCTACTGGCATACAGTGGGTAGAGGTCAGGGTGCTGCTAAGCATCCTACAATGCGCAGGACAGCCCCACAACAAAGAATTGTCCTGCCCAAATGTTAGTAATGCCAGTGTTGAGAAACTCTGCTTTAAGGGGATCGGACTCCACCTTTTGCTTCTCTATTTTGTAATTCTAGGTAACCTCATATTTAGTTCCTTTCTTGATCACCCTTCTTGCTATTGAAAAAACAAAAGCTTAATTTGCAAGATTGTACTAAAGTTATTGGTTCATCTTGAAACTAAGTGGTTACTTTATTAACTACTATATTGGTTAGGGTTCATTTAGAGAAACAGAGCTACTAAGCATATATATGCATTATCTAATCTATATACGCAGTTTTGTTAGAGAAATTTGACCTTTCTTTGACTTGTTAGGGAAATTGGATGAGGCTGGGCACGGCGGCTCATGCCTGTAATCCCAGCACTTTGGGAGGCTGAGGCGGGCAGATCACAAAGTCAGGAGATTGAGATCATCCTGGCCAACATGGTGAAACCCCATCTCTACTAAAAATGCAAAAATTAGCTGAACGTGGCGGCAGATGCCTGTAATCCCAGCTATTTGGGAGGCTGAAGCAGGAGAATTGCAAGGAGGAGGCTTCAGTGAGCCAACATCATGCCACTGCACTCCAACCTGGTGACAGAGTGAGACTCCGTCTCAGAAAAGAGAAATTGGATGAGAAGTACTGAGGAGTAGAGCCTGTCTTTTCTGTTTGAGTACTTCTACTCAAGTATGGCAGCTGGAGGGTCTGTCTAAGGTAATTGTCTTCATGTCCAGTGGTAGAGCTTGAAATCCATAGGGAAGGCTGTGAAGAAGGGAAGATTGTTATAAAGTAAGTAAGCAGGGACAAGCTAGAACGCATGAGAAGAGACTGGAACCCATGTCAGTTTTCACAGCCTTCAACCTTGATGAAGTGGATGCCCCACAGGAAAAGTTAGTGGCCTTTGTCATGGAACTGAAAAACACCCAGCCCAGGAGTGGGCAACTGAAGGAGAAACCAGGGAAGATGTAGCAGTTACAGGCCCAATTGTTGCCCCACACCAGCAAAGTACCCAGCAGATAAACAACAACGTGTGTGAACTACGAAAGTACTTCCCCCTATTACGCACACTGAAATACAGGCTGGTTGCTGTTCATTTCCACCCTCCTGATCTTGCACAAAAATATCTTCGGTGGCCGGGCGTGGCCAGCACTTTGGGAGGTCAAGGCAGGCCGATCACAAGGGCAAGAGATCAAGACCATTCTGGCCAAAATGGTAAAACCTTATCTCTACTAAAAATAAATAGCTGGGTGTGGTGCCCGCCTGTAGTCCCAGCTACTCGGGAGGCTGAGGCAGGAGAATCATTTGAACCTGTGAGGCAGAGATTGCAGTGAGGCAAGATAGTGCTACTGCACTTCAGCCTGGTGACAGAATGAGACTCTGTCTCAAAAAAAAAAAAAAAAAACCCTCCAGTGGTCCATCTTAACCAGAAACATAGAGAATGGAATTCTGGAAATTGCAGTTCAGCCTAGCAAGGTGACATAATACAAAACAGTAGCAACTGAATCCCCACTTTCGAGAATGCATGAGTAAAGGATAGGCCTAGAATTCATGTCTGTACAACTCATGCTGCATTGGCCACAGTAGTCTAGGAGGTTTGGAACTTCTTTTTCCTTTGGAGCAGGAAGTATTACTTGGCAACATTTGGATGACCTACTGACGGTTTTGGTGTAAGGAAGTGTTTCTTAGGTTTGATGAGAACTTCCATGCCCCTCCTTTCTAGTGCAGAGACTTTGTTTTTTATTTTATTTTAATTTTTTGAGACGGAGTCTCCCCTGTCGCCCAGGCTGGAACCAATCCTGGCTCACTGCAACCAACCTCTGCCTCCCAGGTCCAAGCAATTCTCCTGCCTCAGCCTCCCTAGTAGCCAAAATTACAGGCATGTGCCATCACGCCTGGCTAATTTTTGTATTTTTAGTAGAGATAGGGTTTCACCATGTTGGCCAGGCTCGTCTCGAACTCCTGACCACAAGTGATCCACCTGACTCAGCCTCCCAAAGTGCTGGGATTACGGACATGAGTCACTGCGCCTGGCTGAGACTTTGCTTTTAAAGAGATTGTGTCACGTAACAGCCTTCCTATAAAAGGGTTCAGAGAAGCCAGACACAAAGGGTCACATATTGTGTGATCCCATTTATATAAAATATCTGGAATAGGTAAATCCATACAGACAGCAGATTGGTGGTTCCAGAGGCTGAGGGTGGGGACGGATGGGCAGTAATTGCTGAATGGGTGTGGGCTTTCCTTTTGGGAATATGAAAGTATTTTGGAACTAGACAGAGGTGGTTGCACAACACTCTGAATGTACTGATGAATTGTTCACTTTAAAATGGCTACTTTTATGTTATGTGAATTTCACCTGAAAAAATGTTATTGGTTTCTTGAACACAAAAAGGAGTTGTAAACTAACTCAAGTAGTGCTAAGATCTGTGACATTCCAGTCTGCCAAAAAAAAAAAAACTAGAAATCCAGAATCTTCTGTTGGGAAAAGGAGAGTCTCATACTGCTCTAGTGTAGTACTCCTAGAAGTAGTAGAAGGAACTCATGTCCTCATATTCAAATCAGGAAAACCTCTAAGTGGGGCTGGCCCCTTTAAGACTCAAAGACCATAATCTGGTAGTTAAGGAGTCATAATGACAAGTGTCTTGGGTAATTCTCCTTGGATATGTAGTTCTTGCCTTCCAGGACAGAAGTACTGAGGAGCAGAGCCAGTCTTCTCTGTTGGTGATAGATATATATTGATGGGTTTATATGACTTTGAGTTTAGTTTGTAAAATCTAGATGTCCTGCCCTAGACAGGGGACAGCGATACTTAGTTTGGGTTCTTTTCTACCTTGTGGATAACAGAGTTTAGTGAAAGGGAAGAATTTCTTTGAAATGTGATTTTATGTGTTCAGTCCTATTTCCAAAACCCAGGAGGGAATGGAAGGAAAATGTCCTGGCCCAAGAACACCTGTAAAATTCAACTGCGTTGGCTGGGCGCGGTGGCTCACGCCTGTAATCCCAGCACTTTGAGAGGCTGAGGAGGGTGGATCAGGAGGTCAAGAGATCGAGACCATCCTGGTCAACATGGTGAAACCCCATCCTTACTAAAAATACAAAAATTAGCTGGGCATGGTTGTGCACGCCTGTAGTCCCAGCTACTCGGGAGGCTGAGGCAGGAGAATTGCTTGAACCCAGGAGGCGGAGGGTGCAGTGAGCTGAGATGGTGCCACTGCACTCCAGCGTGGGTAACAAGAGCGAAACTCCGTCTCAAAAAAAATAAAAAAATTCAACTGCTGTAAATTCAGCTGCTGAAAACAGTGCCTGTAGCCTGCGTGGAGAAACAGTATTTTGGGTTTTTGTACAGATGTTTCAAGAGTCCAGGATTCATGGGCAGCCAGTGATTGGGAATCCTCAAACACACTCTAGAGTGTGAATTCAAGAGAGGTGAATTCCGAGTTCAGAATCTGGGAGTGGAGAGGTGCTGAAGTCCACCATCATGAGTGCTTGTGAGCTGGGCACACACACCATCATACTACCTCCTACACAGACCCCTCTTCTACCAGGACAGGGAGCCAAATTAATTAGTATCTATCACTGCAGGAAATAGTGGCTTGGAAATGGACATGCTCAAGGACCTTGCGTCCCTGCAGTTTGAGTATGGGGTTCCAGAGGAAGATCGCATCTGGCTGTATTTGCAGGGCCGTTCTCGGGGACTGATGATCGAGGCTTGTGCCCATGCAACCTTCTTCTGCAAACTGTTATATAATTTGAGGTAAGCTGAGTATCCAAATTCAGGAAGATGGACAAGAATCTCACTGCTAAGAATTCAAATGTCTTAAAATTTTTTTATATTAGAGGGTAAGTTTGGCTGGGAGATTGTCATCCTACCTTTTCCAACCTAGAGTCAATGACTCCTGGTCTAAAAGGACAGGAAAATACATACCAGGGTCCCCTAGCTGTAGTTACCTTTTAGTGGATGGATTGATTAAATGATCATTTATTCATCCATTCACTTACTTATCATGACCACTAGCTTGCCCTCCACAGTTGCTAATGTCTAACCATTCCTTATCTATTGACAAGGAATGCAAATGGAATCAGTTCTTTCTTTTGGGGTTGAGGTAATAGTGGAATGCTCCCTTACAGGAAGGCTACCTGGGACTTCACAGGCCCTGTGCCAATGTCTTGCTTGAAACCAGGAATATTGATTTGCAGGAAAGCTCAGTCCAGTCTTAATTCTGATGTCTTTCTACCATATGGCCTCAGACACTTAAATAGGAAATGTGTGTGAAGCCTATAATTAGGCTCCTGAATTCTGCAACTCCAGGTCACTCTGGGAGCATGTGTTACTTCCTCACTCTACTTAGTTTTTCTCTGAAGCTAGATTGATTCTTGGATAGTGGGACCAGATCTGAATTGAACATGTTTACAGATACGGCATATACTCAAGGAGGCAGCCTGCTCAGTGAATTTACTGACTGGCTTACTGATAAGGATGGATAAATCTTTTGGCGGTACTCACTATGACTGGTGAGAAAAAAATATATGAAACTTGCAGGTGGCCTTTTATATTTGGAAGGATCAGGCACTAAGAGAAAGTGGTGTTTCAACCAGGATAGAAGGCATAAATAGAGTGTCACTTGTGTTGCGTAGAACCAAAAATCCAGAGCTTTAAGACACTGGTTTTTATAGAAATACAGAACAAATATAAGGCCGTCATATAGCAATGAAAGTATACCTTATGTATTCAGAAGTCTGACTTTGTTAATCATGGGCCAAGGAAACACCAGCACCAACAGTAAGTGAACCTCTGGAAATAGTGGTCTGAAATCTTCATCCTTAGTTTCTCAGTTCTGTTCTGGTTTTTTGTTTTTGTTTTTTAAATCTGTACCCAGAATGAACACTGTTTTGTTTTTATAAAACATTTACTTTTATAAGTCATAACATTCTTAAAAAGCCAACTTATCTGGTTTTTTAAGTCTGCAGATTTGAAATAGCAAACTAGAAAGAGTAGGCAGACTGTAGGAAAGGAATGCACTCACCAAATAGCAATAAAAATTGATAGCTGTCTCAGAGTATCAGTAAGATGAAGAAATAGGAAGCCCCAGACTTTGTAACCTTGAGACGCTAACTTAACAACAATATATGGCCCAAAAAACATCTATGAAAACTCTCAGCACTTAAGAAAGTGTAGTGCCCCGGCAGGTACAAATCTAAGAACAGCTGCATTTACAGGGGTAAGAAAAGCCATTGTAGTTCACCCTTTCTTCTAGCCAGCCTCAGGTGATCATGAGAAAATGCCGAAATTGTGGCTTCTCCCTTGGAGGGTAGAAGAAAAATGGCATGTTTGTCAGCTGTTTTACCTTTTTGGGGGCTGCCTAAGGGATTGGTTTTTGTCTCACATGACTTGGAGCACGGAGGACCCAACACATTTTGGATGAAAACAAAGGAACACTCAGTGGCTTGTTGCAGTACGGAGAACCTGCAGTACTGCAGATAGATACCAGAGTGAGGAAGAGACTAGGAGCCCCTGCAATAGAAACAGGCAAAACTATTTAATTGGGAAATTCTAAACACAAGACCAGAGAAGACACATTACTGGAAAGATTTGACAGGTCCCAGAATCTCTAGCTGGTCTGATTGGGAAAGATCTTCCCCCATATAGTGCCAGTCTGTAAAGATTGGGAGAGGCTTGACTTCTTTCAAATGCCCAAATTCCACCAAAAAATAAAAAGGCAGTGTTCTTCAACCACAGGAACAAACTACTGCAGAAACCAGCCCTAAAGAAATAGCTCTGAGTTACCCAGCAAATAATCCAAAGTAGTAATCTTTTTTTTTTTTTAATATATATATATAATTTATTGTGTTTTAGGTTTTGGGGTACATGTGAAGAACATGCAGGATTCTTACATAGGTACATACATGGCAATGTGTTTTGCTGCCTTCCTCCACATCACCTATATCTGGCATTTTTCCCCATGTTATCCCTCCCCAACTTCCCACCCCCCACTCTCCTTCCCCTAGCCGCCCCCGACAGACCTCAGTATGTGATGCTCCTCTCCCTGTGTCCATGTGTTCTCATTGTTCAACACCCACCTATAAGTGAGAACATGAGGTGTTTAATTTTCTGTTCTTGTGTCAGTCTGCTGAGAATGATGGTTTCCAGGTTCATCCATGTCCCTACAAAGGACACAAACTCATCGTTTTTCTTTTTTTAATTTTTTTTTTAATTGCATTTTAGGTTTTGGGGTACATGTGAAGAACATGCAAGATTGTTGCATAGGTACACACATGGCAGTGTGATTTGCTGCCTTCCTCCCTTTCACCTATATCTGGCATTTCTCCCCATGCTATCTCTCTGCAACTCCCCACCCCCCGCTGTCCCTCCCCTATTTCCCCCCAACAGACCCCAGTGTGTAGTGGCTCCCCTCCCTGTGTCCATGTGTTCTCATTGTTCAACACCCACCTATGAGTGAGAACATGCGGTGTTTGATTTTCGGCTCTTGTGTCAGTTT